TTATCTCTGTGCCTGGGATATTCTAATGGCTCAATAAATGGTGACTACTGTTATTATGAATTGGCCTCTAAAAGGGGTTTTTTGGAGGGTGAGAATCACAGGCATTCAGACAGGCTGACATTTCTTCTCTCAGTTTCCTGCCTCTCAGGAGACCAGGGAGAGCACTTCCACTGAGAGGGTTCACACATGGGAGAAAACCAGTTGGCCACACAAAATGAGCATGTCTGTTCCTTACACAGCCTGGACTCACATTACATGAGCAGCCCTGAAAGGCAGGGGCAGGGGAGGAGGGAGCATGACGGAGCAAGAGCAAACATTTCCCCTCCAGAGGGAACTTCATTGAGCACCCGGGCTGAAACACTCTAATACTTTTTCTAATCTGACCATATGGATCACCAGCAGCCTCCAAAAGAGAGCTGCTGATAGAGGTTATGTCTGCTTTGTGTCACGCATAACCAGGTGATTCCATCACCTCAAGTTTCCATTTAGGAGATAAAAGATAGCCATACTGCTGCTTCTTTTAATAGATTTATTACTTTCTGCCTGTTATTTTTGGCAGTGTTCAGATTGGCATGAACTTTGCTCTTGGACACATGGCTAGTGTTTTCTTGGGAAAAGAGCTGAGCATTTGGAAATTAAATTAGATAAAAGAGCATAAGAAAGCAGTACATCGTAGACAGGCTGTTCTTACATTGCTTGTACTTCCTCTTTCCATGACTAGTTTTGCTCAGGACTAGTATTGAGGAAAGTAATTTGGAAATTTCCACCTCCTGTCAAAACCAAATGGGAAACAAAGACAAGTATTTTATCCATTCTGTGGCAGAGCCTTGAATAAGAAGCAGCATAATTCTTGGCGTCAGCCTGACAATGAAGGTGGAAGGAGACAACTCTGGGGAGGATGAAATTCTTTGAGAAGATAATTTAGATTGCTCAAGTTATTGGTCTTCATCATATGGAAATTGTCTTTCTAATGCTAAATTATTGTGTTCTGTAAGAAAAACATGACAATTTACTGTTTCTTTGCATTACTTAAAACGTGGGCAGTTTTATGTTACTGATGTGAACCTTGATGCTATTTTATTATTTATGTGAGAAAACCATTAGAGAACTTGATTACAACCAGCCATATGATAACTATGCTAAAAAAATAATAGCTAACTTAACATTGAGTGTTTACCAAGGGTTGGATACTATGCTGAGCACTAGATATTACTGATCTCGTTTAAGCTTCCAGCCAAACCTATGAAGTACTATTGTTATTCCTATGTTACAGATGAGGAAACTGAGGATTAGAGTTTTTAAATAACTTGCCCAAAGTCATACTGTCAGTAGGTGGCATAGTCCCGATTCACTTTCAGGTCATGTTTCAAAATTCACACTGAATTATGTGTACTGACTAGATACTATCTGCTTGTAATTGTTCCAAACAAGAACTGAAAGGCATAGTTATATTATGCATGCAGCGTAACGGTTCTGTTGACATACTTACACTAACTGCCTCTACAACTCTGCTTGTCAAAATTGCATAGTGAAATACTGTCCTAAAATAATTATATGTAGAGAATATGAAATGGAAACAATCCAGACCCACAAACCACATTTTCTATTCTGTGGTTATGCTAGGATAGAAAGGGATATTATGACATTCAAAGAAAGCAGGAGAGTTTTTTGTAAAACATTCTCTAAGCCTATAAAACAATTGTTTAATATTTTGCGTAAAATAGCACATTTAAAAATTTAGAGTAGGTGAAATTGGTTGCAGGTTAACATTTGAGAAATACCTAAATATTTTTAGAGTTTCATTTAAACAAACCAAGTACATGTTTTGGTTTTCGTTTATAAGTTGATTTTATTTGTACTAATGTACTTACACATATTAATGAATACATTTAGAAGAAAACAATATGTATCACTAGAAAACTATGAGCCCTTTTTACTACTAGACATTGATAGAAAACATATGTCAGATAGCATGTCTGCATTAAGTTGCACAGAACCTGGAGGAAGAAATGGAAGAAACTAAAGCAATAGCAATAGGCTAGCATTGTAGATAGTAGGTCACGTTTACACAGCATGAAGTGAAATGATTCGGCAAGGGTCCAGTTAGTTACAACGGTATGGACAGCTAAACTAGCTATCAGGTTTTCCAAAGCAGAAGTATTTGGTTTAAGTTATATAGGGTGGATTATCTATGTTGACTATATTATTTGAATAATTTTGTGAAATACTCACAATAGGCTTTGTCTCTGTACTGAATCAATTTCACGTGTTCTATTAAGTATTTGTTTGGTTTGGATATTAAATATTTCATTTATAATAGGATTTGACTCCGTATTTCAAAATGTTGCCCATAATATGGCATTGTTTGGGTCTAAAGGAGGAAAATGCTGTATGTCTTTGTATCACACAGTAAGAGAATAAGAAGCCATTTTTTTGAGACTGTACTCACAATAATCACATCTTTAAAAGAGAACAGACACCAGCAGCTCATTTTTAAGTCCTTAACTTTCAAGCCAGGTTGACGCAGGAGCAGAGTCATTAGAAGGGAGGGAATTCTAAGAGGAACAGAAATACAGACCATCATAGAGAGTAAAAGGAAGTTTAAGTGTACACAAGGAAAATTAAAATTGTTTTTCAACTAACTACAGTTAGCATTTTATTTTACTTCCAATCTTTGCACATGTAAATATTATAAATATCAACAGTTATAATATAAATGCTGTGTGTTTTGTGTTCCTCAGCTCCTATCTTTCTGCTCATAATTCTATCATGAATTGCTATTTTTGAAAACCTTCTTTAACGTTTGGTTTCCTTCATTCTGATAAACTCTTTACAAACATTTCTGATTTGCTGTCTAAGCAAACCCTCAAAGGCTTTTGGTCATAATTTGAAAGCTATGAAATTTTGTTGTTTATATACATGTCTTAGCCAATGGACCTGGATATAAGTGTGTTCAGCAGAAAAGGGCAAAATAGCCCAGTTAAGGAAAACATTTTTAAATTCTAAAAAAGTGAGTATTTGCATGGGTAAGCAGTTTTTCCCTAAACAATAGTTGGCACTCCGTGGATGCGTGTTAAGCTCAAGGCAGGCATTTTAAAGTAAGACCATGTGGACAAATTTTATATGTTCATAATGTTCTTCACAGAAGAATAATAGATGCAAGAAATAAACCACACATACTCCAAATGATTTGGAAAGAATATTCTTTCCTACACCTCTTCTCATATTCATCAATTCCCTTCACCCTCCGTGAACACAAAGCACTTGTGTCACTGCTGTGACATTTTATTGAAAATGGAACCATCTTGGCCTCAACGTTGACTTTCCTTAAATAATAACAGGAATCGTGCCACTCTGTTGTTCAAAACTTGCAGATTCTTCTTTTCTACAAAATATCATCTCCACTCTGTAGCTCGATCACTGCCTGCCTCTCACTACTCTCAGGCACTGCAAAGTCAAATCAAATACTGTCTAACACGAAAATACTAGCAGCTCCCAGCTGTTTCTATTTTGATGGACTCCAGCTAGACTTCACCTTCTTGTTGGTGGATGATGATTTAAAAGGCAGTGATTGACCCAAGAGCCACCTTGTTCACGCAGCCTTTCACAGAAGTATCCCCGACAGCACCCACCTCTGTGGAAGGCAGGTGTTGAAAATCTATAAATATTGATTCCAATTGAACTCACTTCAAGATCCTTTAAAATACTAAAACTATATAGAGAATCACAGATGTACAACCAGAAGAAATTTCAGAGACAAAATAGCTGAACTTTGCATTTTTAAATATAGAAAACCTTGGCATCCCTGCCGAACTATAATATCCTGAGCACATAGTCTGTTTAGGATAAGGTGATGGCATGATAAAATTAGGTTAAAATCTCCTTAAATTTCCAAAGTAGACGTCATTTGGGGTTGGAGTTATTGGGGTGGATTATCTAGGTTGACCCTATTAATTGCATAATTTTGTAAGAACACAAAATGAGCTTTTAGGTCTCTGTAATGAAATGACTCCTCATGTCTTCCTACATGTGTGCTTTGTTTTGATACTAAGTGTTCAATTTCAAATGTATTCCTTTCTATTATTTTAAAACTTTACCCATAATAAGCCTTAGAATGAATGCTTCATGAAGGAAGCAGTGCTCGAGCTGGTCTTTGAGCACAGGAAAGCAGTCACAGAGGGGCCATCTTGGAGTGTAAATGCGGATCGAATCTGAAGAGCAGCATTACTTGTCATTAAGGATGACTTTTCCTGAAATCTATTTCTATATGAAATCCATAACACTCATTTAATTTGTTTTATATATGAGGACCTCCAGTAAAAGGTGGTAATATTTTTATATCTTATCTATGGCTGGGCCAATTAGAAAAAAATTCGGTAAAGCTGAACAAACTTCATTGGTTGCTAAGCCTATATTTTTATCAATTTATCTGTTGTGAATACAATGTTATCTTTCTCATGGTCGGTCTGCATAACCACCACCACCACAGAAAGGCTGTACAGTGTAAACAGAACAACCAGAAACAACCATCAACAGGTTATACAAAGAGAACAACCTACGTGGTGTAATGAACAGAGCATCATCTGTGTAAGAATGTGACAGACAAATCCAAAGTTTCAAATTCATTAGCTGCGTGATTTTTTGATCAATTATCTAATTTCACTGAATCTCAGCTTCTACATTTTCAGAATGAATTAAACATTAATCATGTTGAGAGATTAACAGAAGAAATTTATATAGAGGTCTTGTAAAGACAAATTTCCTATCGCTATGTATGTCTACCTGTACTGAAGCAGCACATTTATCTCTATGTTTTAAGGAATTATAGGTTTTCTCTAATTAAGATTTTTACCATGACGAAACTTAGAGAGAAAGAACAATTCCTCCAAATTTGGAGCAGCTGCTATGAATTGTAAATGTATCTTATTTAAATGATTATTAATAAAAAATGTGGAAACATTTTATGATGTCAACATCCTTTGGTTTCTCTTGCCTTTTAGGAGCCTAAGTTGCCAAAGAATTACCTTGCACAAAAATCTGTTCTTCTCTTTTGTTTGTAACTCTGTTGTGACAATCATTCATCTCACTGCAGTGGCCAACAACCAGGCCTTGGTGGCCACAAATCCTGTAAGTAAAATAAGGTTGTGTCCTTGGGTTCAAGTGGTTAGTGGAGAAGAGATGGGAGGGTGGGGGGCCCAGATACATGTATTATGTGTGTAATTAAGGGCTCATACATGTATATTTTAAGGTCTGCCATATAGAGAGTATATGTAGCTATATTCCAATCCAGAAAGGTAAATATATCTTAATATTCCCCAAGTTATAAAGATTGACTATCAAAGGAAGGAATACATTTCTCTGCTTCAATTATTTATGTATGTCACACATATCTTCATGTCATTTTACAGCTAGAGTCCCTCTGCTGTTGGGACATAGGGTTTATGACTACATAACATTTACTCAACTAAGTGAAAAATCAATCCAAGTAACCAACTCTGTGTAGTTAGAAAAAACAGCACATGAAAATAGAAAATTTAAATTAAGTTGTATGTTTGGCATCAGGCTGACTTTAAAGAGTTAATAAAACTGGCAGGGAAATGAATTATGCATTGTCTATATAATGTTAAACTTTATTAACATAACATTTTTAAAGTGCTCTATCATGTCCTTATCTTCTCAGCAAACATTTATAAATCGTTTCCTTACAGGCTTTTTAGAAGCACAATTTGTAGGATGAGTATCAAAAGACACACAAAAATAAGCACAGAGACTGTCATAACATAAAAGCTCTATTTTTAAAACATAAGCTAAAATTTACTTATACAAATATATACAAATATACATGTTTTATGCAAGCTATATGCATATGTAAGCTATATTTAAATGAAAATATCTGCACAAATAACATAAATAAATTCAAGTTTTTAAAATCATCTGCTTTCATAATGTTTGTAGTATCCATATTTAAGTTTTGGATGTGGACTTGTGGAGGGGTATGTGTATATATATATATATATATATTTATATATAAAGTGGTTTTTTAAAGATTATCCAGTTACTGAAATCAGGAAAGGGAAGGAATTTTCACTCAATGGGTCAAAAAACAATACTCTCATATGTGTTTTATGTGTGTTTTTAGGGTAATTTCCAAAATTCTAAAATTCCCTGCATTGTTTGCACATGTGCATCCGGATCGCTTAATCTAGTCTATGTTCCACTCTAAAGTCACTGGGTGAGGAAACACGTTGGGTATAATTAGCCGTACAAAAAACTGACTAATGTCCTGCCATTTTTGAGCGAATTTCTCTAAAACAAGGAGAGTCAGAGTTTTGTCATGGAGCTGCAGAGCAAGAGATTCGAAATCTTACCTTTATATACAAGGATATTGTGTTTAACACACAAATCGCAAACTGTAATATAGTGATTTTTAATATAGTCTAGGAAAATTTGTCTGTTTATATCAGCAATAGCCTTCACAAAAATATTTTTCCGAAGCGTGCTTTAAGTTCTTTTTATCATAATAGTTTATAGATTAATTTTTTAAATAATATCAGGAGTTAGAAACCCAGTTATATATGTATATCTAAAAACTATGCAGATAAAAATTTGAAGCTGAAGTCTATTATTTCTATATAATATAGTTGAATAACTCCTTTTTACCTTCGAGAGGACTTTGTTAATATAATATTGTGTTTGACATCAAGGTATGTTATTTAAAATTTAATGTCACGCATTCTGCAGATGTATTTAATGACACAATAGGTTTTGTAAATGACCTTCAGTTAGAAGGCATTGTGTATAGTCATGAGAACAAAATTGGAAATACAGGACTTGTGTTCAGGGTACAGCTTTGATTGATGTCGTATGAATATTAGCAAATCACTTAACTTCTCCAGTACTCAGTTTTTTATCTTTCAGATGTATGACTAGTGATAAATCATGCCTCAGAGAATTATGTTGAGGTTTAAATAAAACAATATGTATTGAAAGTATTTTAAGCTAACTCATATGAAAATATTATTATTACTATTCTATGGTAACCCAGTATTTATTTTCCAGTGCATTTCGTTTCCAATTTTCTTTTTAGTGAAAAAAATATTTATTTCAAAAATAATAGAAATTGCTACTAAACATTTATTGTGTCCCAGACTAGAAATTGGAGCTGATGGGAGTCATTGGCCGTGTATTTCTAGGAGAGTTTTAAACTTATTCCCCTTGTTAAGGGAGTAAACTGTCTCTTACTCCTTTGTGTTTTCTTTACCCTATATTTGAAGTTCCCTCTTAGAGAAGGGAAGAGAAAGTGGAAACTTCAGGAAAAGAGGAAGGAAAACCATAACATTTTCTTCTTTTTACTTACACTAACCCTCAAACACCGCATTTGAATAAGAAAAATTATGAGCTCATTAGATTACTAAATATTTGTCGTGGTGGCGTATAATATGCAAGACTTTCCAAGAGTTGGGCACTTTTCATGAATTGCTTTTAAACTTATTAAGATAATTATTGAGATTTTTCCAACAGAATGCAACAATCAAGGAGTTCGGGATGACATAACTAAAACAGGTGTAAAGTCATTCATGTGTGACACTTTTATACTTATAATTGCATAATAACTAAAACACCTTAGGAAAATATACACCCACTAAATGTAGTAAATTTAGAATTTACACATTTCCTTGGAGGGGCCATTATAAATCCTTAGAGTCAGTGGCTAAAAGCTTTAGAGGCACCATTAGATGAGGATGCAGGCTGGCATTTTACAAACCTGAATCATTAGTGTCTAAGATTTTGCATAGAGAAGAGAAAATTCTGTGTTTCTATATAATTGAGCTAAACTAGACTATTGCTTTTCCTGTGAATTCATAAACAACTAAATCCTGATTGCTTTCTTTTTTTCTCCCAGATTAGTTGTAAAGTGTCCCAGTTCATTCATCATTACCTGATGGGCTGTAATTACTTCTGGATGCTCTGTGAAGGCATTTACCTACACACACTCATTGTGGTGGCTGTGTTTGCAGAAAAGCAACACTTGATGTGGTATTATTTTCTTGGCTGGGGTAAGTGCCATTACACATATCTGTTGATTCACCTTATTAAGAAAGCTTTTGGAGGATGCAGAGTTCCTTTGTAACAAAAACGTACTTATTAATCATTTTTAAACAATATCAGGTGATTAACCTTTGCTTATTGCTACAAATTGAAATATTTAAACAAAGTACCACTGACTCATTGTTTTCAGTAGTCAGAGGTCAATTAATAATACACTGTGGGTTTCTTCTGTTTAATATTCCGATGTGTATCTTGGCTAAATATGTAGTGACTAAAACAACAATTAGAATCATGAATTAGGGATCTAGTCTTTTCAGTGTTCTGAATCTCCTTTTTCTTCCCGTGCAAATTGACGGCATTGGGCTTAACCAGCTTTGATGTTCCATTCTAAAAATGTTTGTTTAAAAAAATATATTGTAATGTTATCTAAGAGGGATCAGTTATTGAATAAAGGCGTGCAAAAGATCTATTTTTTCCACACAATCTGCTGACATGGTATTATTCACAAAGCAAACAATGATTCACTTCTAGCATATTAAAAAAATAACAGGAATAATGCAAAACAAAATGCTGAAAATGAATTCAGTAAGACTAGTTTCCAAGAACATAACTGAAATTATATTATTTATCTATCTTCCGTCACCTATCTATACAGTCAGATAATAGATATAGATATATACAGAGACGTATACAAACACACACCATCTTTAGTGCATTCGGGTTACCTTTATAAAGGGATATATCTGTAAAAATAGAGACCTATATATTTCTTCATTTCATGTTTGAAAAATCTGATTTAGAATGCTCAAAACATGCAAAATTTCTGATACACAAATCATCTCTTTCTTCCTTCTCTTCTTCTTCACACAGTTGCTCTCAACTTCTTCCCACATCAGATCATCTACCAAATATTGGCCAACTCCATCTCACAGAAAATCTGTGAATGCTGGGGTTCTTCGAATCCTTGAGGCTTAGGCAGCACAATTAGGAACTTAGGCTCTGGAGCCCATTGATTCAAAATGACTTCTATTAGAAGAAAACTTATACACACAAACCTCAAAATACAAATACCTAATACTTTACCATATTTACTGCTTGAGTATACAGATGATATTTACTCAATAAACATATATATATATATATATATATATATATTTGCTCCTAGAGTATCTCTGTTTCATATTTCATGACCTATTTGAGGAGTTCCATTGATAGAGACAGTTGCCTATTTATTTTCATTTTCTTTAATATTTACAGGATTTCCACTGATTCCTGCTTGTATACATGCTGTTGCCAGAAGCTTATATTACAATGACAAGTAAGATAATCTCTCTTTCTGATTTCTATTGGAACTACGTAAAATGAAAATCTTCAATATAATTTCTGTTTTTTCCCCTAGCTGCTGGATCAGTTCTGATACCCATCTCCTCTACATTATCCATGGCCCAATTTGTGCTGCTTTACTGGTATGTAATTAAAATTCTTCTTTTTTCCTCATTGCTCATATTTCAACTTTATTTTCTGAGTCATCTAGCCTATGGTATTCTTCAGGATCCAGACGACACGCTGCCAGTGTTTAACTGAAGAAGATTTAATGACAGTATTATATTTGAGGTGCTGGCAGGAAGAGTAAAGGAACTAATTCATAAGGGATGGTGAGGCACCAAGAACCAACAGTGGGAAGTTGTTATTACAGCTAGACCTAAACAGGGGACGGAACACTTCCCGTAATTGGGCAAGTGTTGGGGGAGGTGGTCCTGCGTAAAGGAACACAGCCACTGCCCAAACCACAGCCTGCAGAGCAAAGGAAGGAGAAAGAAATACTCAGACTTCTCTCTCTTGGTTCCTCCCGTTGACCAAATGCAGCAAACGTCAGAGGCAAGAAAGCCTGGGTTATGACGCAGTTCTCAGAGATGACTTGGGGCCTCCTGGGACACCGGGCAGAACAGAGAAGGGCAGAGGCTGGCTCTAGTAGCTAGGGAGGGCAAACTGGAAACACCTACACACCTATGTTGGTAATAACAGTAATATTCCTATAAAGAAAAGACTTTAATTTGGAAAGAGAGTATTGCTTAAACTGTTGTTTTATTATTATAATGATCATTACTTAATACAAGTGCACCAATTGGACATTTTTAAAGGTGGTTGCAGGGAAATGAAACTCACATTCAAGGCTTTCATTACATTGTTTCAAAGGGGAAATAAATTAATCCAAATTAACATGCTTTCTCTCATAGAGCATGAGAGACCAGAATGCAATTACAGTCTTCAAGACTGTAATTACAGCTGATATTTAATTATATACAAAAAGACAAAGGTGGTATGTCAAGCCAAAATTTGAAGCTCTCCAACCCTTGTTTTCAGACTCTTTTTTAGACAAATTTTCTTCTATTATTTTACTATATTTGCTAGCTGCAATTTAGTATCCAGTTATGTTAGAACACTGTTCAAGCCATTCTCAAATGTATTATTGTTAACTAATTCTCAAAAGTGTGTCTTAAAAATTAGAGGGTAAATTCTGAACTCTTCTTCCACCTCTTACCTGCTGTGTGACCTTACAGAATTAAACTAATCATTCTGTGCCTCAAGTCTCTCATTTTTAAAATAGAGAATTTAATAATAGCGACTTTTAATTTTTTTAACAAGGAATTATATGAGTTAATACATAATAAGCGTTTAACCTGGCATGTATAAGGCATGTAATAAGTGTCAAATTCCTGATTTGTTCTGGGCCACACAAGAGAGCCAGTTCAGAAAATCAACTCATGGAATTTCTTACATCTGTTATGGAGATTTTAACATGCCTTAATGTAGATTCTACTGAAAATTTCAGAGCGAGAGAATTTCCTTTCCCTGCTCTTTGCACATGCTAGGGACATTTTGACACACGGTGTCTAAGCTGTACCCTGAGACATCCTCCTTTGTGTTCTTTGAAAAAGCCAGCATTGAAACCCAGCTCTACCACTGCTGGCTGTGCTTCAGGGCAAGTCTGTTTGATTTTATTTTTACCTGCTCTATGTCTTTGTTTTCTCATCTGTGATTATGGAATAATAAGAATAAATACGTCACAGAGTGTTGTAAGGATTAAATGAGATGCATCCTGTTAAATGACTAATACAGTGCCTGGAATATATAACAAACTCTTGAAAAAACGCTCACTTGTAGTTTCTACATGATACCATGGTTCTGTTTGGAGGAGAGTTCAAAGAAGTTAAGATCCATTGTTTGGACCACCCAGAGCTTACAGAACAAATACAAGGCAAAATTTTATTACCAGAGATCTGAGTCTGCAGAGGGGTATGTGATTCAAATGCCTAAATCAGAGTGGTTCAGGAAATAAGTAAAAACATTCAGCAAATGAAAAATGTAACAGCAACTAACAATCCTTGGAAAAGCCTGTCCACATCCACTCTGAGAGGCAAGAGTAGATGGCCCAGCTGGGGTAAAACGTCACATAGGAAGATAGCCCGTCAAGTTGCTCAGTAAGACAGGAAGTGAAATCCACATGATTTGCTTGTAACTTTTTGCATTTTCTTGGCCTAAGAAAAGATTAGGAGCCTATTTTTCTACCAGGACAAATTGTTCTGTCCTTGTTTAAGCTCTGAGGCTCCTCACTGGTCCTGGCCAATTGCAAGGTCTTGGGAGGGGCACAAGCAATTGTTTAACATGGTCATATGTTTTGTATAAATAAGATATTTCAATTGCAATCCCTTTCTTTCCACTCGGACTTCCTCTGTCACATTTGTCCTTGAGCAGGGTGGTACAGGCGTGGCTACAGCAGTTTTGAGATCCTGCTAAGGGGAAGTTGAGAGGGGATACATTCAATTTGTGTTTAGCGAGGGATGCTTAAGTCACTTTGGTGCCCGGTGAAGTGATTGCTGGTTGTTCTAGAATGAGAATGGTTTCCAGGAATCCTCCTACCGCCACGGTGCTGACTCCCCCTGCTTCCCGTCATGACCTTAGGTTGGTCTCGTGACATGAAAATGTCCTGTTGTACCTCCTAGCTATGGGAACTTTATGGGCGTTCAAGTAAAAACAGCTTTCTTCTGAACTACTTTTGCTCTAAGATAGATGAGATTCAGACATAGTTCATCTGAAATTTAAAATTATTGTACTATTTTTATTTAAAATAAATGCAAGTATTTGCAAAAAGTGAAGTAGGATGATTTTCTAGTTTCACATTTTAAATCAGACTTACCATTTTGAAGAAGCACTTGGCATTTAGAAAGCTTCATATAATGGGCATCTAAATTGCAGCATTTCTTCTGATTTTTATAATTTATGGTTTTTGCATATTAGGATTATAAAATATTTCATGTTCTAAATTTATAAGCAGGTAAAATAGCATTATTATTTTTTCTTCTATGGGCTGTTAGTAGTTTCCATTTAGTCAAAACTTTTAAAACAGCAATGAATGCTCACGAAGGGAGTGCAGTAGGATGGGCGGAATAACAGCTGATGTGTTGATTTGTCATGTTTCATTCTTACACCTGTTGAAACGGCTTATTCTGCTTTTGTCTTTAGCAGAGACATTCCTGTATCAGTAACCATGTTACTTTTCATAGATGTGTTTCCATCAGGATTAGAGCGTGCTGTCTATTTTTGAAGCATATGTTCCATTGACTTCTCTAGGAATAATAGTGGAATGTTTTTATGCCCAGTTATTTTCATAACACATGCCTTACATCAGCAAATGTATGTTATTTGTTCATTGTTTTCTACATTAAATGAGGTGCTACCGTTATTATTCCAATTTATTAAGGTATGCGGTATCAATTGCATATTGGTATGCACTTTGAAATTTTTGGATTATTAAACAAGCACAGATGGTAGAAGTCAAGGTGAGAAAAAAAGAAAAGAAAAGAGCATAATAGCATAGGAGTCCTAAGGGTCTCATCTGGAGTTAGTGTCCACACGTAAAGAATGGGCATAGAGAAAATAAACAGATGTGAAAGATGTTGACTTGGATAAAGATAAGAAAGAGAGAAAGTAATCAGAGAGAAAGAAATGTATTTCAGCAGAACTCTGTCCGTTTTCTGAGTAACTTAGTTATCCGGACTATATTTTTGAAGTTTTATGTCTCCTTTTTAAAGAGAATGTTTTCTCTTGGGGAATGTTGTTAACACACAGTAAATATGTAATTACAGAAAGTCATTAACAGAAGGCCGTGTGAGGTGCCAAGATTTTTTTTATCTCTAGGACGATCTAGGTTGAATATCAACTGGTTCAAGTGTGTGATTCAGCCTACTCAAAAAGATAAAGAGGATTACAATAATATCTTGGGGAGTTTTGAGGATTATTGCTACAAAAAGAAACACAGGAAGGATAAACCAAAAAGATGAAAATTGTTATTATGGTGTAATATATATTTGGAAAGTACCTAGTGTGGACACTGGTACAGAGAAGGGACTTTAAAAAATAAGCATTTGTTGAAAGAATTAAACAATTGAAAAAATAAACAGTTCTTTCCTTTGAGCTGAAAATATTCAAAAGCTTTAATTTTTGGACCATAGCAAAATTCAAAAAATTTCATAAGAAAATGAGCTGAGAAAAACACTCATGTATTCCTCAACTGAATGTGTTTCATATTACTTCCACCATAATTTTATTTTTCTAAAATCCAAGTCCATTAAAATTGGTGTACTTGTTAAATTAATAAATCACAATTCCAGAAATACAAATTAATATCTTAGGCAAATATTCCCTTTATTCTTGCACATTGAAAATATTCCAAGATGTATAAAATTAAAGATCCTCAATAATGCTTCTTAATATTAAATAATTTTCATATACCATTTCATTTTCTTTTAGGTTAATCTTTTTTTCCTATTAAATATTGTACGTGTTCTCATCACCAAGTTAAAAGTTACTCACCAAGCAGAATCTAATCTCTACATGAAAGCTGTGAGGGCTACGCTTATCCTGGTGCCATTACTTGGCATTGAGTTTGTGCTGATTCCATGGCGACCCGAAGGAAGGATTGCAGAGGAGGTGTATGACTACATCATGCACATCCTTATGCACTATCAGGTATGGTGTTCTTGGAGGTATACGACCACATCATGCACATCCTTATGCACTATCAGTATGCTGTTCTTGAATCAGGAACGCAGCTTGCGAAATCTGGTATTAAACTTACATATAGCTTTGGTTTTGTTTTTATTATGTATGCAGCAAGTTGGTTACAAATAATGTCTCTTTTCCATTTGAAATCAGATAATTCTATTTTTCTTTTATAGGGTCTTTTGGTCTCTACAATTTTCTGCTTCTTTAATGGAGAGGTATGGTGATTGATTTTATTCCTTTTATCATTTTATATTTGCAATATATATTTCTCTTTAAAAAATGAGAGAATTATAAATTCTCTAGGAACAATTCTTTCAAATTCCATTTCTGTCAGGAAAAAGAATCATAGACTCTCTCTTCATGATGCAATTCTGTTTCCCAAAAGCTCAGGTCATATTGGAGTTGAAGACTAGGGCAAATTCAGCTTCACTTTACAATATTCCACAGTGACTTTATTCATCCAGTCTTTTGACCTATTTTTTTGAACAATCCTATTAAGTCTGTACTTCGACCTAGGTATGGTGCTAGGCAACACTTCATGTCATAGAACAATACACACACTCTAATAGGAAATAGAATTGGCTCGTTTTCATTTTCTCCTTTTCTCTGTTTTTTTGACTGGTCCACAATGTGGTCTTTGGAATCAATTTTAAGGTGTATATAAAAGGATTTAAAATAATTAAACTCAGTTAGACAGGGAAGAGATGCAGTGGGTTAGGAACTTTAGTAGAATAGAATGCTCTAATTTGTAATATGGCAACATGCTCTCAGACATTTCAAGATTTACATCCAAGGCTTTCCTAAATGGAAAGTTTCAGGCATTTTAGAAACTCTGGTACCATATTTCTTATGCATATGAGTCGTGCTATTGCTCAGTGGTTTGAGCCATGCTGATTCACCTCTTTACATGGTTTTAATCTACTTGACAAATTTTAACCTGTTGGAGGATTTTGGCAAAATTCTACAGTTTAGAAATCCAGACAGTAACTGAGTGAGAAGTGGATGCTTGGTAACTATGAAGCTTATCACGAAGCTTCAGATAGGGGACACGTAGAACCAGTTGGCATAACTATGAGAATCATTCCTGTAAAATGAATCAACATTGGAAACCATATACATGTCACGAAAAACTGTAAAATATTGCTTTCCTTTGCTTAAGTAATATTTGATTACTTTCTCAGCATATAATAATATTTCATGTTTAATTCTGTCATTAAATTTAAAACATTTTAATTTTAAAATGTAGATCTTTATTTTATACATACATATATTTTTTAAATGGAGTGTAGCACTGTCCAGCATAATAGACTATAGTGCATATTTTTAATCATGCCTCCATGATTTTTCTCCTATACGGAGGACAAGAGTGACTGTTTTTCTGAAGTCAATGAAAAATATAGACAGAGAATGAAATTAGGAAAATAGATAACTCATTTGTTTTGATAACAAAATTTAAACAACATTTATTACCTATCTCTATAAATTTCTTATTGTGTAAACTGAATTAGACAATCTTATCTACTGCCTATATAGGATTTTACAGTTAAATATAGATGAGAGAGATATGGACAACGTGCCAAAAAACATGAGAGAAATATGAAAGATACACCTCTGCATTTGCAGAAACAGATTTCATTTTTGTGAAGGGTAATTTTTAAATGTACAAAACATAATCACTAGTGAAATATTTTTTGAGGCAGGATAGAATAAAGTCACTGCCACATCAATGCATTTAAACCCTAAAGATGCCACTTCGCTCCTGGCTGTGATATCTTGGGTAATACTCCGAACCTCCTGGAGTCTCAGTGTCTACCTTTATCAAAGGGGAATCAAAGCAAGTTCCTACACAAGACTCACCAGGATTCATGAAAGCTAGAAATGCAACGTTTTTAGCACCAGGCTCCACCCTCAGTAGATTCTTAGTACATTACAGATTCCTTGTTAGATTTGCCCTCACTCATTTTCAAAAATACGTGTACAAATGGGAACATTAATCATATTGGAATCAAATGTCAAAGTGACCCTTTTATTTAGAAAGAGTGCCCAGGGGATATCCAAACTAATGCCTAGCACTCTTGTTGCACTTGATCTGTGTAAGCAAAAGAGACGCAGACTCTGATCTTCTGCCATGTCCTAAAATTGAGGAAATTTTGGCAGTGGAAAATTACAATAATATAAAACCTTCTAGCCAAGTTGTTGCCAAATCTTCAGTTCTTCACAACATCTTCAATATCTGTCCCATTTTCTTCATCTCTCGAGATACAATCCCTGTTTGTGTATGATTCATTTCTCATCTTAGGAAATGCTATAATCCCTCCTTCTTTGTCTCTTTGCCTCTTAGTTTTTCCCACTCTCACAACACGAAGCTACAGCTGCCAGATTCATTTTGTGTGGTTCCAACTATGTCCCGTACTTCTTAAAATCATTTGCTCAGGCTTAGTTTCCTTCTTGCTTTACACATTAGGTCAAATGGCTTGTCTTCAGCTTAATATCTCTATTTCTTTACTTTCACGTTTTATTTTTTTAGCCACAATAATCCTATTTGCATTTCTCACTAAATAACTGTGACTTGACAAGTGCTCAGGCCCCATTCATCTCATCTCTAGTCCACTAAGACAAAAATGCACACTGTTAACGTAAACTAGGGACTCTGGTCCTCAGAAGGGCCCCCCTAGTCTCGTGGGTATATTTAACAACACCTGAGCATAGAGAGTTTTACAGGGTGAGCGAAAGATTTGTTGAAAATAACCAAACCCACATTCTATAATGAGAAGTAGGTAGAATTTTTATATGAAGCTTTATTAAATATCTCCTCAGTGATCTAGGTTAAGGAGTAAAGAGTCGGTTCCTTATCAGGTGCTAATGGGCATATAAAGTTGTAATGTTATATTCTAAACAGTTGGCCTTACTATTTATATAACACTCATATGTAAAATAATGAAAAATATTTTCATATCTTTAATAATACCAGCCTATCTTCCCTTCCAAAGGCAGTTTTTCTTCTTATGTTTCTCCATTAATTTTTTCACATTAAAAGTTTATTAAGAGTGGCCACTTTAATGTTCTGTTGAACAGGTGTGATATTGTATTAGAGGAAGCAGATGGAAAACATAACATCCTTATAGAGGATAATATAAACAAACAGATGTCTACAAGGCCTGTGGGTCTTAATTAGGTTTATTTTTAACTTCAGTAAATAAATTCCCACAGTTCAAGACATAAACTTTCCATGGTTTTTCTGATGATTTATTGTCAAGAAAGAAATAGGGTGATGATTTTAGTCAAACTAGATGTTTCGAGAACAAACCATTCAGATATTTCAAAAACCATTGTGGCTTTTAGAATTGAATTGAAGCTTTCATTTTTAAAACTGTAAGTACTATGTTCACAGCTAAGATATTTCTTCCTGTCAGCTTCTTCTCCACATTTATGTAGAATCTTTGGTACAGAGCTACATTCCTCTTCCTTTCAACCAGAAACTATATAGTGTACGTATTCAATCAGCCCAGCATTCAGTAACAAAGTGAGGAGAAATTATTTTAGCATAAAAACTAGGATCAAAACCAATTCTCAGCAGAAATAATTAGAAAATTGGCCAAAAGTCATTTTTGCTTTAAATCCCTGAATATGTGTTTAAAAGTCACACTCTAAAGCCATTCCATTTGTCATTTGCTTGTGTTCTTGAAGATATTACATATGCAGATATTATTTGTAAATTACCTTAATTTATATTTATTATTTGCAAAATTTATAAATACGTTACTTAACCATGAGGGAAACAAAGTGTAATTTTTTTGCCAGATAAATATATGTGTTGTCCTATAAATACTCTTTTCAAAGAAAATTTACATAAATATAAATATAAATTATTTCCTTCAGATATAGAAATAAGCTTGAAAGTCCTGAAGTTCTGAGTTTCATAATAATATAACTTCTAAAATCAATTTATTGTATTTCTAATTACATGATTTTTGAATTACAGAGGATAGCAAAGCTACCACGAAATTCTAATAACTCAATTTGAATTCTAACTAAAGAAACTCGTTGACTTCATATTTGTTTCTTCTGTTTTTCTACATGATAAAACATGAATGAGACAATAAAACAGTCTGTTCATTTTAAGTAACAGAGTATAGGAGACACTAACAAGACTTTAAAGTATCCCATGATATTTGCTAGAGATTGTTTGTAATTTGGAGAAGTTTTCTTGATCTATTTGACAGGAAAATGAGAAGACTGAAATAAGCCAGCCCTATTTTAAAGTTTAATATTGAGGTGTACACATGAATAAAGTGAATAAAAAGTTGAGGACTTCTATATACTTAGCAGAAAGTTAAACAATTTTTGCATGAGTATGTTTGTAATACATGAATTATATGTATTACAGAATACATGTATACTGTATGGAAAATTGCTTTTAGGTGCTCGGATTTCCTTTGAAATCAAAGGGTCAAAAAGCAGTAGAGAGTTTGGGGAAGACAACTCAAAGCTGTGCATGCTTTGGGAAGACATAGATCAGGTTACAGGGATGTGGCTAATACATTCATAACCTAGAATGTATCAGCCCCAAGCAGACTGCCCCAAGCTGGTCTGCTCACTCATCAGACATCTGGAAGTGTCCAGGTGATCGAGTTGGAGATGTATTTGAATATTCCCATTTGTGCTCGCTGACTCAATGTGAAGAAAATCACCTTGGTGTCTTATGTTCAATTAAAACCAAAGTCACTCTATATGGCTTACCTAGGCCTGATCTCTAACCCCAGGCAGAGAACAAGGAAGAGTTGATAAACTTCAAATTCATCCAGGCAGAGGGGCACCATTAATTCTCTTCTCAGTTTATTCGTAAAGATTTTTATATAAAGCTAGATGTTGTGCATGCAAGCTTGTAAATGGGGTGTCTGGATTAACTATTGGTTCAAAAACAATACATTCTTATGCATTATTAAAGCTTCAGAGATAAGGCATGGAAAGAGAAATATTCACGGAGTCTAAAAGTACAGAATAATTGCAATGAATTCCCTAACGTAAAGATGGCTTGCTCAATTATTTTTTAAATTAAGTAAGGAAATAAGGCAATTTTAGTCACTAATTAACATCAATGCATTTTTTAGAAAAAAAGCTATACTACATAATTTATTGTAGTATTAAATAGAATATCTTCATTTCAGTTAATGGATTGCTCTTGTCTTTCTGTTTCTTTTTGATTGATAGGTTCAAGCAATTTTGAAAAGAAACTGGAATCAATATAAAATCCAATTTGGAAACAGCTTTTCCCATTCAGATGCCCTCCGTACTGCATCTTACACAGTGTCAACAATCAGTGATGGTACAGGTTACAGTCATGACTATCCTAGCGAACACTTAAATGGAAAAAGCATGCCTGATATTGAAAATATTATCTTAAAGCCAGGGAAGTTATATGATTGATAATGGAGGGAGGGTTACTTAACTATTTTATGCCACTCCTATCTCAAAGACCCGGATCCATGACTTTACAACTAGAAGACTTTGATATTCAATGAATTTTTTGGATGCCACAAAGAAAACCCTCCATGAAGTCAGAAATGTGTTGATAATGTTTAACAAGCAGCTCTATGGGGAAACAAAGCTCTGATGTGTAACGTTTGCCAGTTTCTGCGGTGTAAATACTCTTACCACGGCTGATTTTAAGCTGTCAACTTGACATCACTGAATGTGGAATTGGGAAAATATAAACACAATCAACTCTTGTAGGCTGGCGTGAGCCAGTTCCAGCACACCACTGCATGAATTCACAAATGAATAAGACTGTAAAAGTCCACATACACATTGGGCATCACTCTACTCTTGTTGCCTAAAGAGACCTAGCCAAGGCCTATAGACTTGGAGAGAAAATTAGCTTTTCATTTGTTTTTAAAATCTTTATCCCATATTCATTGGTGCATTTGATTTTTTTGCCCAGAAAGTGTTCTAGCCCTTTTTGTGTCTCCCCTTTCCAACGGACCAGATAAAGACTTAATTATTCCTGTTGGCTCACCCTATTCTCCCCAAGGAAGGCAATTGAGCAGAACTGCTTTTGGCTACTCATTTGCTGATATGTCACAGCTCCCCCCTGTGTCATATCTGCTTTTGAGAATTGATGGATAGTATTATAATATGCAATTCCACTTTGGTATTATCAGGGAGACACCTTGTTGATACTACAGAACACCTTGCAGCTACTTTCCTATCTTACTACACAAGTGGGAGGGAATCAGTTTCCCTGTATCTGTAAATAGAAACTATGCCCCTTCCATTTCTACTGTGTAGACAAATTAGCAGGTATTTTACATGAAGGAAATCAATGAAGGATTTCTTATTTTCTTGGAAGTTTGTAAAAAAAATTGTTGTGAAAAATGAGCTTGTAAATACTTTGTTATTCTATTTTATAGTCTCAAATCAAATACATACAATCTAGGTAAGATTTTTAAAAACAAACACATAACGTAACAATGTGTGCATGTTAATATCTGATACTATGTCTGGGCTGATTTTATAATAAAATAGAGTCTGGAATTCTATATTTGGTAAATATTTTAAAGACAACCAGATGCCAGCATCAGAAGTTTGTTTAAAAACTAAGATATCAGAAATATCTATGATAAGATATATTTATTAAAAAAATTCAAGGCCATTGTTTTATTGAGTATATTAGCTTTGATGATTCATACCTTAAGAATAGGTATGTTTGACATATTTCTTTTTTTTATTTTGACGATGAACTTGCATTCTAATCCAGAAAATATAAACAACTCCTACTGTAATAAATGCCAATCCACTACTCTTACGGTTTTTACCCCATTAAAAATATTACTTTTCTGACTTTTACTATAAGAAGATACACAGCTTTGGAAATGTTTCAGGCTATTTTTTAAAAAACTATGGCAATACATTATCTATCATACACAATGTTTTAATATTTTAATAGAGCTACTATAAATGATAAATCAGTGAAAGACTTGACTCCATCATTGAGGAAGACTTGTCAGAACGTTTATGAAATAATTAAAGGAAGGTGGAAGGACATCTTGCCAACGAATTAAAGTGACATTTAAATGGGACTCAGTTTCCCTAATGTTATTTTCCACTGAAATTTCTGAAAAACAAAAATGCCTTCAATTAGTAAAAGTCAATTTTGGGAGGAGAAGTCATTATGTGTATGCATTTTTGCAGTGGGTCAATCTGCTTAAAATGGATTAAACTGAGTGACTTAGTCATCATAGGTTGTTTCTTAAACTGTCAATAGATGGTGACTTCAGAAATCATTTGAAATTGTCCAGGAAAATTAGCTAAATTAGTAAGAATTAGCATGTTAAATGGCCTAGTCAATACATTTATAATTTATAATTTATCTATATATGTGTAAAGGTTTTATTAAGTGAACTTCAAATTTGTGAATTTTACAGCACGCTGTCACAAAAAGGAATGCAGGCTATTCTGGACTTTCTGTTGCCTAAATTATACAAAAATTCTGTTAAGCAAATTGATTCTTTTGCTATTTATTAGTCAAAGACGCAGATTCAAATCCTTTGCTGATGCTGTTCACATATTTCAGCATCCTTCCAGACAAACTGTCAAGTCTCACCTATAAATGACAGTAGAAGATATCGCATTATCAGCTATCATGTTAAAATCATGTTGTGGTTGTCAAGTATTTTTACTGTGCTGTTGTCATATTAATTTTCGATCAGATTTCCTTTATGGCCAAGATTCACCTATTGAACAGTCTTCAGGTGGAGACAGCCCATGATTAATTAGTCTCAGTTTTGATCCACATTTTTTAGGGGTAATATTTTTAAATATTAGTCTTCTCTAAAGCTGAAGTGCTAATTAACATCTCCTTTGTATCTTACTCATGAAAAAAAGGTACAATCAATATTTTTAAAAGCAAACTTCGTTGGTATCTAAAAACTAATTTTGGGAATTTCTAACTTTTAAAATTTGGATCTGCTGTTTTCCTGCAAGTACTGTATAAGTCATACTTTAATTTTTAAAAATTCTAATCTATCTTTTTTTTATTTTATACAGTTATTTTCCAGTGCATTTATTCATAAAATATCCATTCTGGAATTTAATGTTTGTTCAGATGTAATCTGGTGTACATAGAAAAAATTGTAGCTGTAGTGCTGTATTTATTGCTTAACAATTTTTTAAAAATGTGAATTTGTTTTAATTTTCTCTTGGTTTTAATCTGCTAATAGGAAGCACCATTTCTTTATTCTGTAAAACATACCCAAGATATTCTGGACAATTAAAACAACTCATGTTATGCCTACTTAATGTATATCTCTATTTTTTGATTGTATGAAAATATTAAAGTTATGAGTTAAAGTTGATTTTCATTCATTTTTACTGGACTGCTGAATAATTTAACTTACAAACATAATTCTTTACAGTAATCAGTGGAATAACTCTTAAAATCAGTGACTCTCATCTCTGTTACCCTCTCTGAAGTCATCAATAAACCTGTAAATCCTTCCATAAACCAATTTTTAAAAAGTTGTGAATTTGTTTTTTAAGCTAGAAGATTCCAAATAAATGCAGTGTATGCAAATTCCTTCCTAGGCTGAAAGAAAGAAAAGGATGCTGAAAAATAGGAGAATGTACAGGGCTTTGTCTTCTTTCCCCATTATATTCCACTGTGTAGTATTGAATAGCACAAAGAAAAAGAAGGAAAAGAACTAGCTAAAGATAATTTTTAAAAGAGGGCATACCTTATGATTTCACTCATATACGGAAGATAAAAAAATAAGAATGACAACAAACAAACAGATAGATACAGAGAACAGATTGGTGGTTACCAGAGGGGAAGGGGGTAGGGGTGGGGAGAAAGGGGTAAAGGGGCAACTAGATATTGGTGGTAAACACAACATAGTCTATACAGAAGTCAAAATACAATGATGTACACCTGAAATTTATATAATATTATCAATCAATGTTACCTCCATAAGAAAATAAAAAATAAAAGAGGACAAAATTGTGAATCACAAAAATATAAAATGAAAACATATCACAGGTGTTTTTTAATTTATTCATTAATGAGAGAACCAGTAAGATGTTACAACCATTCAAAGAACTCAAAATATCACACATATAGAAGAACACAAGAAATGACAAAATGAATTCATAAATAGATGCAAAACAGTTCAATGCTCAGGGAAATAATCAGTTGCATTCCATTGAATATCTAATTCATATTTCCATGATCAAGAATAATGTACATTATTATCAGTTTTCCTGCAAGTAACATATCTGTAAAATAGCTCAAAATAATGAAAGGTCAAGACAACCCAGAAGGGCACACTAGAAAGCACTAAAAGGACACTCTAACAACTCTAAAATATAACAAGAGAACAGTATATTACACACACAATACTCCTTTGTATATATGTATATGTACATATAGAGAGAGATACACACACACACATATATATAATAATCTAATATATATATAGAGAGAGGGGATATATATATACATATAGGAGAGGAGGTGTATACATATATATATATATATATATATATATATATATATATCCATTTCAAAGGATTTTGCATTTTTTTCTTACAATATCCCTTTCTTGTGATTATAATAATTTCAAAGAATAAATATTCTTGATCAAAAATAAGGCTAGTTTGGGGGCCAGCTCAGTGGCATAGCAGTTAAGTTCACGCGCTCTTCTTCCGTGGCCCAGGGCTCTCTGGTTCGGATACTAGGTGCAGACCTATGCACTGCTTATCAAGCCATGCTCAGGGGGCGTCCCACATATAAAGTAGAGGAAGACGGGCACAGATGTTAGCTCAGGGCTAATCTTCCTCAAAAAAAAAAAAATAAGTCTGGTTTCTTAAAGTTTGGTCTGATTATTTACATAGGTGGGCAAGGGTGTTAATTTATAATTTAGATTTCCTTAAGTTTATTTCACAAATCTACAGTCATGTTGCATTTTTTAACAGCTTCCTTGAGATATGTTTAACATACCATATAATTCACTCATTTAAAGTAGCTTTTAGTATATTATATTAGTATAGTATATTTTCATTTCTTCAAAGACATGTGTTGCCATCACCCTGGTCAATTTTATTACATTCTCATGACCTCAAGAAGAAATCACATATCCTTTAGCTATCATGCTTTTATCCTCCCATCCCTGTTCCCACCACAGCTCTAAGCACCACTAATCTACTTTCTGTCTCAATAGACTTCCCTATTCTGAACTTTCAGATGAATGGAATCCTATAGAATGTGATCTTTCGTGTCTGACTCCTTTGACTTATAATGTTTTCGAGGTTCATTCATGTTTTAGCATGTATCAGTATTTCATTCCTCTTTGTGCCTGAATTATTCCATTGCATGAATTTATCACATTTTGTTTATCCATTTGTCTGCTGATGGACATTTGTGTTGTTTCCATCTCTTGGCTATTATGAATAAGGCTACTAGAAACATTTGTGTACAAGTTTTTGTTCGGAGATATTCTATAATTTCACTTGAGTATATACCTAGGAATGGAAAGGCTGGGTCATGTGTTAAATGTGTTTGTTTGAGGAACTACCAGATTGTTTTCCAAACATCTTACATTACCACTAACCATGTATGAAGGTTATAATTTCTCCACTATTCTCCAACACTTATCATTATCTTTTTTTATTTTAACCATCCCCATAGGTGTGAAATGATATCTGTGGTTTTAATTTGCATTTTTTGATGGCTCATGATGTTGAGCATTTTTTCATGTTTACTGGCCATTTTTATGTCTTCTTTGGAGAAATGTCTATTCAGATCCTTTGTCCATTTTTAATTGGATTATTTGTCTTTTTATTATTGAGTTGAGAGGATTTTTCATATACTACACATACAGGTCCCTTATTAGATATATAGTTGCAAATATTTTCTTCCATTCTGTGTTATCACTTTCTTGATGGTGTCCTTCAAACTACAAAAGGTTATCATTTTGATGAAATACAATTTATCTATTTTTTCTTTTTTTTTTTTTTTAAGGAAGATTAGCCCTGAGCTAACATCTGCCACAAATCCTCCTCTTTTTTTTCTGAGAAAGACTGGCCTGAGCTAACATCTGTGCCCATCTTTCTTTACTTTATGCATGGGATAGCTGCCACAGCATGGCTTGACAAGTGGTGTATAGGTTCACACCTGGGTTCCAAACCAGCGAATCCTGGGCCACCAAAGTGGAACATGCAAACTTAACCACTGCGCCACCAGGCTGGCCCCTCTATTTTTTTTCTTTTGTTGCTTATACTTCTGGTGTCATATCTAAGAATTGTTTGCCAAATTCAAGATCATGAAGATTTACCCCTATGGTTTCTTCTAAGGAATTGATAGTTTTTGCTCTTATACTTAGTCTTTCATCAGTTTTGGGTTAATTTTTGTATATGGTATGAGGAAAGGGTCCAAATTTATTCTTTTGCATGTGACTATATGTTTGTCCCAGCACTACTTGTTGAAAAGATTATTTTCTTCCATTGAAGAGTATCCTTGTCTTGGTATCCTTATTGAAAATCTATTGACCATAGATATATGGATTTACTTCTGAACTCTAGCTTCTATTCTATCTGCCTTTGCACCCAAACCACACTGTCTTGATTACCTTTGATTTGTAGTAAGTTTTGAAATAAGGAAGTGTTAGTTATTCTACTTTTTTCTTCTTTTTCACAATTGTTTTGGCTATGCTAGATCTCTTGCAACTCCATATGCATTTTAGAATGAGCTTGTCAATTTGTACAAAGAAGTCAGCTGAGATTATGATAGAGATTGCATTGAATCTGTAGATAACTTGGGGAGTATTGCCACTTTAATGTTAAATGTTATTAAATCTTCAGATTTATGAACATTGGATGACTTTACTCTTACTTAAATCTTTGATTACTTTCAATGTTCCATAGTTTTCAGAGTATGTTTGGTACTTCATTTGTTAAATTTATTTTTATTTTTTTGATACTATTACAAATGGAATTGTTTTCTTAATTTCACTTTTGGATTGCCTATTGCAAGTGTATAGAAATAAAATTGACTTTTGAATATTGGTCTTCTATCCTGCAACCTTGCTGAACTCATTTCTTAGTTTTAATATATTTTAGTAGATTCTTTACAATTTTCTGTATAAAAGATCAGGCCATCTGTAAACAGAGATAGTTTTACTTCTTCCTTTTGAATCTGAATGCCTTTTCTTTCTTTGTTGTCTAAATGCCGTGGCTAGAACCTCCATTGAATAGAATTGGCAAGAGCATATATCATTGTTCCTGATCTTAGGGGAAAGCATCCAGTCTTTCATCATTAAGTACGTTAACTGTGGATTTTTTTTGTAGATGCCTTTTATCACATTGAGGAAGTTCCCTTCTATTCCTGGTTTGCTGATTGCTTTTGTCATGAAAGGGTGTTGGATTTTGTCAGGTGCTTTTTCTGCATCTGTTGAGATGATCATGCAATTTTTATTTAATATTCTATTGATATGATGTATTACATTAATTTCCAGATGTTCAAACAATCTTGAATCCCTGGAATAAATCCCTGTTGGTCATGGTGTCTAGTCCTTTTTATATGTTGCTGAATTCAGTTTGGTAGTATTTTGTCGAAGACTTTTGCGTCTCTCATATTCATAAGAGATATTGGTCCGTAGTTTTCATTTCTTGTGATGTCTTTGTCTGCTTTTGGTATCAGGGTAATACCAGTCTCATAGAATGATTTTGGAAGTATTCCCTCCTCTTCTATTTTTTGAAGAGTTCGTGAAGAATTATTTGAAGAGTTTGTATTAACTCTTTTTGAACATTTGGTGAAACTCAGTTGTGAAGCCATGTGGATATGGACCAGATGTGGGTAGTTTTTTGATTACTGATTCAAATCCTTCTCTTGGCATAGGTCTATTCAGATTGCCTGTTTTTTGGAGCCATTTTTGGTGTTTATGTTTTTCGAGGAATATGGCCATTTAATCTAATTTATCTAATTCATTAACCATACAGCACTGAACAACCACTAAGGCCACAAACTGAACTTTTGCTTGGAAGATTTATAAGGAATCTTGGATTGGATTTTCAAAAGCCTGTTTTTTTGGACATCTTGAGAATAACAAATCATGCCAAAAAAAGAGATCTCTCTACCCCAGATTTTACCCACTGTATCTAAAACTTTGGGTGAATTCCTCTTTTCTTAAGGTTCCCCAAATCTGACATGATTCTTGGCATGCCAGAATTGATCTTCCTTACCATCCATGAGCCTGTGTGGGACTCTTGAGCCAGATATCAGGCCAGTTTCCCTAGGAGGGCATTGTAAGTATTTACTGCATAAGAGCAGTCAAAGTCTTCCCACAAATGACCATAATTTGACGACCGTCGTTCTCAAATATGACCCTTCAAGTTAAGTCCTTCAGTACACAATCCATTTGTTCAATATATACTGACAGGAAGGAGAATATCTTCTTACTGAATCAATGCTAAATGGTAAATACGGTAAATAACTATATTACCATGAAAAGTATGA